TCCTTAGCACCTTCATATCACATTATACTCGATTCATATCAAACCTCATCTGTTTTTCATTTTCATCCCGATTCATTCTTTTACATCTGAATTTAATCTCAATTATTGTCAATTCATTAATGATTTTAAAACCTCAAATTTATTGATTTCAGTCATTTTAGATCATTAGATGCCGAGTTTCTTTTTTGTTGTTGTTTTTTTTTGAACAATTTTATTTTCAAAGATTGTCATACAGGTTAAGACAACAGTTAAATTTTTCATTATAACTGAATAAAAAAAAAAATATATATATATAATAATAATAATAATAATAATACATAAATAAACTCAACAATAACTCAATAACCTTAAAAAAAATTATAATAACATTTAAAAAAAACAGCGATAACATGCTTGTCTATATACTTTCAATGTCCATCAATTCAACAAAAGAGTCACCATCTAGACTCTCCAAAAAGTCATAGAACACTTTCCAGATGGACCAAAATACATGAAGTTTGTTTTTCAAAAAATAGGTAACGTTATAGTTTTTTAATTTTTCTAAAACGGCACCATTGTTCTTGTCTTTTTTTTAAATTTTTTATTTGACCTCATTTCCATTTCTTCTAACATGTTGTTTTCCCCCCTCCTTTGGGTTGCGTTGGTGCTCCAGAACCAACCAAACGTATGCTTTCCTTCCAAGGGTTGGCAGAGCTGGCACACCGTGAATATCAGTCAGGAGATTTTGAGGCGGCTGAACGCCACTGTATGCAGCTGTGGAGGCAGGAGCCGGATAATACTGGCGTACTGCTGCTGCTCTCCTCTATCCACTTCCAGTGCCGCAGGCTTGACAGGTGAGATGGAGCACGCTCTGTGGGTCTGCTTCACTGCTTCTCTTTAGGAAGAAGGAGTGGTGTTAAACAGTGTTGGGGAAAGTTACTTTTAAAAGTAATGCATTACAATATTGCGTTACTCCATAAAAAAGTAACTAATTACGTTACTTCGTTACTTTTTATGGAACGTAATGCGTTACGTTACTTTGGCGTTACTTTTTAAATCTGGACAGGGCTTGCTTGTTTGTTTTTAAAATAAAAAACCAACACTGGTGTTAAAGGTCTATTAGTTGGGGTTTTTGCCTTAAGAGGCAGTAATTATTCTTTTTTGTTGATAATGAAGGTGGTGACCTTTTGATAATCCATGTTCTTGGGGTTACTGTGCACATCAGTGTTAATTTTGACAGGATGTGAAAAAAATGTTAACACTAAATTAACACTGCAAAGAACGCGTTTTGGTAATCTTTGATGTTACAAATTAAAATCTTTAATTTAACAAATTTTATGAAAGCTCAAAATCTAGAAGTAAAATCTCATTATGAAAATTCAGAAACGGTGAGAACATGGCATTCTGTAAACATGACAAGAATAACTATTACACTAATAAACAATCATTTTAATTGACAGCTTGTCCATATCCACTATACAAACTTGAATTGCAAATAACCTGGAACAGTTCTTTAAGGGAACAGTATAGGGAGTGTGTTTGTTGCACATGGTGGGAATATGTCACATGTCTCATTCTATTAATTTTCCTAATTTTCATTCTCTTAATTCTGCAGGTCTGCCCACTTTAGCACTCTGGCCATCAAGCAGAACCCCATGCTGGCTGAGGCCTACTCAAACCTGGGCAACGTTTACAAGGAACGGGGTCAACTTCAGGAGGCCATCGAGCACTACCGCCACGCGCTCCGTCTCAAACCGGACTTCATCGATGGATACATCAACCTGGCAGCAGCGTTGGTGGCAGCAGGGGACATGGAGGGAGCAGTTCAAGCTTATGTGTCCGCCCTCCAGTACAATCCTGTGAGTTAAGCCTCAAAACGTTTCAGAGAATCACAGTGGTTTCATGCTGTGTCATATAGCTAGAAATTATCTCTCTATTTTCAGCCTTTTGACGATATGCAATCGTGTTGTCAAAAGTATCGATGTCGGCACTGAAATTTAAAAAATGTGATGATACCAGCATTTCCTGCTAGCATTTTGAGCGCTGTTGTGTGGATTCTCAAACACCTCTGATTGACCATTGTGTTCTCGTGATCAACAGATATGTCTGTGATTGGCTACAATGATCATCGCTTCAATCTCTTCACAGAGCGCTTACACAGATACACACGGGAGTGTTTGAAAGCCACGTCTTATCAGCGAATCCCTAATATATCTGCTCATAGATGGATCATTGTAGCCAATCACAGACATATCCGTTGAGCGCGTGGACACAATGGCCAATCAGAGCTGTAAGAATCCGCTCAACAGCGCTCTAAATGCTAGTGGGAAATGCTGGCATCATCACATTTTCAAAATTTCAGTACCGACATCGGTACTTTTGACAACACTACTATGCAATATCTCAGTATTTTATAGCATAACCAATCATTGTAGCCATAATTTTAATCATTATTTCAAATTCTTGGAAGAAACCTAAACAGTGACTTTGACCCCTAAAAATTTAAGTAATCTTGAATATATTAGATAATGGAAAAATGATATTGAATAATTTCAGTATCACTTATGTATTATTGTAGTGTACTAATAAAACATCTTTTAACAATTAAAATGACATTCAGGATCTTTGCAGGGTTTTGAATAAATTCTTTTAAATAGTTTGAACCTTTGAAGTGGCTGGATAAAGGGAGCACTAAAATCATCACAGGCTTCACAACTTAAGTTTAGTATTTATAACAAAATATTAAATGTATTGTAAATATTCTATATGTCAACCAGCCCTATTGTATTTTGTATGTACTAGTTGGTAATTGATTATTTTTTTCTGGCTTTTAATTACAGGATCTGTATTGTGTACGCAGTGACTTGGGTAACCTGCTTAAGGCGCTTGGGCGCCTTGAAGAGGCAAAGGTATGTTTAAACATGTCGGCCCTTGCACGTTTATGTAATGATTTTTGTTTTTAATTTAAAAATCATAGCTGTAGACCATAATCCCCGTCAGACACCTAGCCATTCTTGTACTTTGGGAGTGAGTGTTAGACTTGTTTTTATTTAGTAAGTGCACTCAAGAGTGCTGCTCATTTTATTTCCCCACATCAGCACTCTTTACCATCCTACGGGTCTAGCCTCAACTAGAGCAGAGTGTACCTAGAGCCACCAGGTCACCTGCATCCCACATACCTAGTCAAAAGCAAATTCTTTTTTTTTTTTTTTAATTCAACAAGGTTAAGACCCCTTTACAGGTTTATAAAACAAGTCCGCTTTCCATAGTCAGTCTAAGTGAAAGTCACAAACATCAAATCATGTTCATCCCACCCACCAAAAAAAAAGTTTAAGGACCTTTAAGATTTTATTTTTAAGTGTCCAATGCGTTTTCACATTAGTCTCAAACAGTATCTACTCATCAGAGGCTGCAGCCAGTTTGGCCCTGTATTTGCCAGTCATCTCTTTGGGAAGCGGGACAAAACCAGGATGAGGAACTTGACCCTCCACTTCACTGATACACTCCCGCAGGAAATATTTCTTGGGCCCAAAGTTAGTA